TTGATCATTTGACTGGTAGAGGAATATAATGAGGCTGTTTTTAGCTAAATCCAGGGCTGTTCACTGTACTATGCGATAAACATTTTTGACATACAACGGTGTTTGAGCTGCAAAATGTCTTGTTCTTTGAGCAGGAATAATCGGTCCCAGTTTTAATTCAATCCAATCAATTGTAGCTCATTCTACCTGTGAAGGTTGTGATGGATCATCTTTACTTGAGGTCGATTTACATTGCATTTATTTTGCTGAGGTTTTGACACAAGTTTGACTCAAGATGTTGGATAAGTAACTTCCAATACGAGAAAAGCTCTATTTATTACCGTGCCCAGGATGTCAGGGAAGTGAAATATTAGTAAGGAATCTACTACTGAACTATACAATCGTGCAACAAATATTATTAAGATGTCAAGGCTTGGGGCTTTGGGCTCATAGTCTAGGCTGACACGCCAATTCAATGATGGGGATGCACTACATTGTTGGAGGTGCCATCCTTTGGATGAAACGCTAAAACCAAGGTTTTAACTCATGCCACTATTAATACAAAGAAGGAGTTTTTCCCCGGCCAAAAATTGCTCCAGATTAAAAACAATTCACGTCTTTGTTGCTTGTGGGTCATTTGCTGTTTACATATTGGCTGTCATGTTGGCCTATAAATACACAGAAAATTCTATGACTTCTTTTGAGATGCCAGCCTGCATGAAGGGCACTAAATGAATGCAAGTTGTTGATCTTGTTGAAACAGTGATAAGGTGTTATATCAAACACAAAGATTATTATTAGAAACAAATGGGAAATACATTATTTGGACAATGAGATCTATGACAATGAGATTTCCTGTTGTAGACAAGTAAGATTGCTATATTTAGCTATTAGTTTATGTAACATGGAATATTGGGGTAAACCAAAGCTTCCCCTTGATAGTTTGTTTCAATAGCTCTTCCATGTTAGAAATCAGAGAAACAGTTAGAAGCAAAATAATTTCATTTCGAAGGCTTGGGTGTTAAACGCTGAGTAATTTTAAAAACTGAATTACATTAAATGCTGAGTTACTTTAAACACTGAGTAAAGTTAAATGCTGAGTAACTTTAACAGCCTTGGCAGGAAATATTGTGAATGGGGTCATTAAATCACTTTTAGTGGCAAACATTCGCGAATAATAGATACTTTGGCTCAGTAAGTATGTCTGCCTTTCAGCAGTGAACATATCACCGCAGTAATGTAAGCATCCAATGGTAAATTAAGTAAAATTATGCTAATGTGCTACCTTAATAACTGGAAATCAATCAGTTGACCCTTATTAACAAGTGTGACTTAGTTTTCAATGGTGATAAAAAAGGAAAATTGGTGTCAAACTGAACCGATAAGAATGTGTCAAACATCACAAGGACATCATTGGATCTTCAACAAACCCTTAGCTTGCTCAAATTGCTAAAGGTCAACAAGCAAGAAGATGTAGAAGATTGTAAAACAGGTACCTAACCAACGGAGAAGGACAATAACAAGAATAGAACGGATTGTGTTTTTTACCCTCTCTTTTCGTCCCCTCTCCTTCACCTTCCAAGAGTAGTCCAACCTCTGTATGGAAGGCGCCCAGATTTGAAGTTCAAAAAGCACTGCATTGAACAGGTACGGGATCTTTCTGATTCTGGCAACGCAGCTTAAATGGATCATAAATGCATGATTTCCAGCTCCTGAGCAGCCCTCTACTGTTAATCAGTTGTATTGGCTTCGGGCACGAGAGTCCACAATGATTTCAACTTGATTCATGTGAAATGCTTTAGCGTATTGGTTAGAAGACTCGCCTCGCAAGCAGGAGGATCCGAGTTTGATTCCCAGGCAATGTGAAACCGTAGGCAAGTTTCCTTACTCCACACGCCTCTGTTTACCTAGCAGTAAGTAAAAATCGGGTTGTTAGTCGATTGGCTGATCACTTTCCGGGCGTAATAATCCCTTAAAAACAATAATAAATAAACAATAATTTGGCCACTCAATCCACGACTGTATGTGGGACACCGTTGTGCTCAATTAGATGCCGTGTTTCGCCCACAAAATATACAGTCAATGTCAAATGCAAGGATTATTATTATTATGTTGGGGTTGCACCAGAAGTATCTCAAGCCAGTAACGCTAGCCCTACAAAACCTTTAATAATAATAATTCTTGCATTTGATATCGCGCCTTATCACGTCTTCGAGACACCTCAAAGCACTTCAAAGAATATACTGTAAAGTGAATTGACTGTATATTTTGTGGGTGAATATAATGCAGCTGCCAGTGCAGCTCCGACAGCATTAGAGGCTTATTCTTAATTAATGTGGTGTCAAGGCAATAAACCTCTGGTCAATGGAAAATAAATAGCAAGCGGGCAGTTTTGATTTAATTCCTTCTTAATGTCTTTGGCAGCAGCACTTTTATTCGCCAATTAACTTGCAGCGCAAATCCCGATAGCCATTAATTCCGCATAAAATTCCATGTTTACCCCCTAAATTCCAAGTTTCATCTCCGCAGTAAAATTCATTTGAAAACTAATGTAATGTAAGACCATCAGGCTGTAAAACACATCAAAAGCAGAAACTAATGTCCAATATTTAACAATGGACACATTTGTGTTCGAAAATGCATTGAACAAAATATTATTTTTGCACTTTGGTTATATTTTTAACAATTTTGCCCCTAGTTACAACAAATAAACAAACTGCTGACACTTGTCTGTTGAAATTGTTTCAAGAAAATGCTCCTGTTTGGAAGTTAACAATAACTATCTTTTTTTTATTTAGCCTGTTGAAAAATATTAATCAGCATTTCTAAGCTGATTTCTGCAACTATTCATAACTTCACTTTTTATTTTACTTCATATTTCATTCACTTTTCTTTCCATTTAAGAGGTGCGGCGGTGATATTTTTTGTGTTTACTGTAGTTAGATGTACGTTTATTAAACCTCACTCTGTAAGAATAGCTACAATGCAGGCATAATTAGCAGTGAAAGCTGTCAATACAGAGCCTGTGTAAGTGTGAATTAATACACAGCATTCACAAGCTAACTGCTCAGTGAGCTCACGTGCATTGTCGGAGATTGTTGGTGAGCAACATGTTTGGTGAATTGGCTGCTCACCTCCCCACCCAAAAAAAGCACAAGGCACATATTTCACTAACTTTCCTTCCCCCATTCCCTTAGCCAACAGATAAGATTTAATGTAAAAAAAATCTTTGCATTTTAATGTATAACTCTCACTGTTCAGCCCAATATCCAGCAGAATACAAACGAATAAGCAAAAGGAGTTTTTCTGGTGTCCAAGTAAAATTGTCATTCACTTTGTGGCTGTTTGTGGGACATTGCTGTCTGCACATCAGCTGTCACGTTCATTTCTAAAATACACGATTATTCCACTTTACAATATATCTTATGAAACACTTTGAGATATCCTCCTGATGTGAAAAGTATCAAATGTGTGGCTTATGGTTAAACTTATTATTATAATTATTATTATTATTATACACATTTATTGCAATTTATTTTACTTGCAAATGTTTCTCCCTTGGTCTTCGGGTTAATTCAGCCAGAACCCACATTGCATTTGCTGAGCAAGCAAGGGAATGGTGGAGCTTGCATTATCACATTCATTGATGCCAGCAGCTTTGTTTGAGGTGTTAGTTTTAGAAAGGATTCCACCTACACAAACTTATTCCACTTATTCCACATACCACACACCACCCCTCCCCCACCCCCACTGCCAAAAAAACATTCCCCCCAACCCAATAAATAATGGGAGAGAGTTTGCAACATTTAATCAAGTATGTTTTTACAACAGAAACAACAACTTGCATTTATATAGCGCCCTTCACACATGGTAACGTTTCGGAGGGGTTTAGTCTGACGCCAAGCTGGAGTGACAGAAGAGATGATCATAGCCATGGCCGAAGAGAATTTCATAACAGATGCTTCATGATATGCCACAAACGTTAACCCGCTGATTTTTTTAATACAGTATCATATGATCCAGTCTCCCTTTTTTTGTTTTTTTTTTGGCATTGACTTGCCAAAAAAAGCTGCTCACACTTCATATCGGCTCTAGTATAATCCTTGCATTTAATTTAGCGCCTTTCACGTCGTTGAGACGTCTCAAAGTACTTCACAAGATATGCTGTGAAGTGGATTGCCTGTGTATTTTGTAACTACTTGATAACAACCAGCCTCCACTGCATGCAGCTTTGTCTGAGGACCGGGATAAAACATAGTGAACAAGTCTGAGAGAGAGAGAGAGAGAGAGAGAAAGAGAGAGTGAGCAAGGGAAGATGGATTTTAAATGTCATGAGGCCACAATTCAGTCTCGCAGCCCTCTGGCGAAGAGTTCAGCAATATGTTGCCAAAGGAACTGTACAAGAGGGAGGGAGAGAGAATCTTCCTATAATCCTTCTAGTAGAGGTGCTTAGCCTAATAAGAAGAAGGTGGTTCTGCAATTGACAAGGCTAATGACATTGTTCATTGTCAAATGTAACTGTAACACAATTGCTAATCTCTCCCATAGCGCCTTCATGAATCTCTTTTTACTTTAAACTTTAGTCTGCTACCCATTTAGTAGCCTTCTTCACAGAGCTTATGTGCACTGTAGCTGATAATTCCCTGGTAGGGCTTACTCCAGATGGCTATCGCTTTACCCTGGCTAAACTGAGGCTAAACTATTGGTGTAATTTTCGAATGAGGACTTTTTTTCCCAGTTTTATGAGTATTTTCCGAATTCCAAGCAGATTGTTGAACAATTTCGCTGACATGGTGGGGAGGGGGAGTAATGTGAGGTGGGGGTGGGGGAAATGGGCATCTAATAAATTACCCCACAATGGTACTAATTTAATTGCTGTGGGATTGGAGCGAATGTCTGAAGTTTTCGTGTCGCTCCTCGCTTCTTTATTGAACGGTTTCTCAGAATAACAAGGCTTGCTATTGTTTCAGTCAGTAAGTACAAATCCTACACCTTTTATAATTGCGGTTTTCCTGTTTCAGAGCTAACCTAAGCCCGAGTGCAGAGCTTCTCCGAGAGCAGCAGACTACCTGAATATTCTGCAAGTAATAAATCTTCTCTTACTTCAGTGCAGTGAAACGAGTTCTGCATATTTGCCACTTGACCTCTGCTTTTCCCCTGCGATATCACTTCTGGAGACAGTACAAGTCCACTCCAGCACACGGCTTCCCACTCAGGTAATATTTTACATGTGTCTCGTCCCCTGCTTTACCGAGGTACAATCATTACAGTCTGTTAGGACAGTTTAGACTTAATTGCTTCAAATGGACTAATTTGGACAATATGAGTCGGGATATTCCCTCAGCTGTTTTGAAATTATAATTTCTCACCATTAACAGACACAGCGCTGCATTGTTATGATTCTCTTCTATCCCGTACTGTTTATAAATCTATATGTGCATTGCTTTAACCCTTCTTGTACTCAATGTCATTTTCAATCGTTTAAAAATATTTACACGTCTTCCAGCCAAATAACATCTGGAAATGCGATTTCTGCATTAGGTTTTTATTTTGCGGTCAGCGGGCCAGTGCGCTCTTGCTTAGTTGTGAGCCACAGTTTGGAAGGGTCATTTTAATTTATTTTGATTTTGTAACGGTGGTTTTTTTTTTTTGCGCGCCCAACAGGGAATTCTGTTGAGACTGACCAAACTAATTTCACTTAGTACCCTTAACAGCTGTCAGAGACTTTCATCCCATTCCCCCAAGTCCCAGAGGAGGTGAAACGACTGCGTTTCCATGCAATCGTAAGTCTTAACAGCGTTACTCAGCCTGTGTTTGTAGATTCCTAGTGTTGAATAAAATAAATTAGAATTGCAGAACTGCAGCCAGTGACCAAACTTTAAAGTAAACCCCTGGGATGAAGGCATTCCTCATCTTTCAGTGGCCTGGCTCCTCTCTTTAATTACTGTGAATACTTCTTAGCTGTTACTTAATCCTCGGCACTGAGTTCTTCTTCACTCACCGCTTCAGGCCACCTGGCCTGCCGTGACATCTCGTTCCTGCCAGGAATTGTGGGAGGGAGGGAGGGAGGGAGTGGGGGGCTAAATAAAATAATTGAGCACTTGAAGCTATTGTACGGAAAATAAAGCTTTTCATCCCCTCTCGGCAACAGTTTAATTGCTCAAATAACAATGATGTCACCGGGGCTGAGCTTACACAGGAAGTGTGGGGCCGGCATTCGGACTCACGGCTGAGTATTTTTTTATATACACACTCACTGCCATTGTACAACATGACTGCCCAGCTGTGGAGGGTTCTTATTTTGGAGAGGAGAGTGGGGGGGGGGTGGGGTGGGGGGGGTGGCGGGTGGTAGAGAGCAGTCTGCTAATTCCAATGTGGGTTTATAGTAGTGGCCTCGATAGTCCGGTTCCTGAGCCAGGCGGGTCCGTAGTGCCTCTGCATTGTACCCTCCTGCAGATGTTAGCCCAGCCAGGCTGGCTTATCGTTAAGACTTGGAGGAGCAGGCAGTTATTGGGTGTGTTGGGGTGGGGGGTGGCAGGGATTCATCCCACTCAGTTCCTGCAAGCCAAAGCTCTAATGGATATGATGGTCTTAACTAGACGAGCAGTGGGAAGCTTGCCAGACAGAGCTATCAATGAGGTCTGTGGCATTAGCTGCTTAAACTCCAGTAGTATCTCAACACGCGCTCTGGGATCCCCAAGCCTTGGCTTTTCAATAATCTAGCCTTTTTTTCCCCCCTATGTACCGTCTTTAAAATCTTTTCATTGCCTTTCTTCCAGCTCCCAACATCCACTTTGGAAAATGGGAGCAACTTCTCACTCCTCGAGTATCACCGTAGAATTTCCAATACAATTTACATTTAATACTGTACAGCACCTTTCACACTGGGAGAAAGTATCAGAGCACAGTGTTGGCCGTGCACCCGAAATGGACAAGGATGGGTGTGGGGGGAGGGTGGGGGGAGAGCCAAAGTGGGTGGGGCGGGGGAAAGATGACTGAAAGCACAGTCAAAGAGGTAAATCTTGAGGTGGGCTTTGAAAGTGGAGAGGGAGAGGGACTCGCTTAACTGTTGATAATTATCACATTACGTACTGCATTTTTTCCAAAGTGAGGTAGTGGAAGATGTTCGAAGGGTTGGTCAAAGAAGAAGTTCTTGAGGGAGATCTTGAAAGAGACAATAGGAAGGACAAATCGTAGAGACTCTGGGATGGAGTTCCAGAGAGTGGGGGCAAATAGGCTGAAAACCCGACTGCTGATGCTGGGCCAGATGGTGAGAAACCTCCATTGGTCTCCTGTCAATTATCTGTCTCTGTACAAAGTTACACAGTCACTAACTTTACAGGAACTTTATGAAGCACTTTGAGGCATTGTTAAAATTACCTGGGTTCATGCTCAATGTGTCCATTCATGAAATGCACAGGTCTGTATGAATTGTTGGCATAAGTCCCTTTCAGATATTGATCTAATTCCCTTTTAAAAGCCAGTTTAGAGTCTGCCTCGATTTCAATCTCTGGTATTCCGTGTCCTAACAACTCTCTGTATGTGTAAAAATAACTTAGACTAACCTCTTCCTTTGTGATTTTTTAAATTATCTTAAGTCTATACCCTCTAGTTACTGACTCACCGTCCAGTAGAAATAATTTCTCCACATTTACTTTATCAAAACCGCTCATTATGTTAAATAAACCTCGGTCAGGTCTCCTGTCAACCGTCTGTCTCCACAGTCTAGGGAGAACAAAGTAGTCCCCAGTTTCCCCAATCATGGACTTATCAAAGACACTAAGCAACTCTGGGTAGTGATGAAGGGTCTTCTGCGACTGATGTGAAGCCCCCCCCCCAATCATGCTCCCCCCCCACCCTCAGTCTGTAGTGTAAGTGTAGCCCTGTGGGGGTTCTGGCCACAGCTCAAGCACATTGTGGTTTTCTGGCCAGCATGTCCTTGTTGGCAGATGTTTGTCCCCCTCACCAGAGAGTTCTGTGTCCTCCTGTGTCTTGTTACCACTCTGAGATGTTAATTGCTTCAGGGATGGATTTAGCAGATCTAGATCAAAATGGCTCAGCTATGGACTCGAGAAGGACATTTGTTCCATTAACCCTCGGAGTACCATGGACAAATTTTGTTTTGTAATACCTGTTGGGGAGCAATGGGAGAGTAACTGCTGTTGTAGCGTAACATGGTCACAGCGCCTGTTTCCTTTCTCATAGGTGAACAACAACTTGCATTTATATAGCACCCCTCACACAGGGTAGCATCTCAGAGTGCCTGACAGTGGTCGACCTGGACAAGCTTCACAGCAGATGCAATAGCTTCAGTATTTGATCTGCTGTTAAGCTTGCATGAAGAAATTTTATTTTATTTTATTTCCCCCGTGATCTTTTGCTGTCTTTCTTTCGTGAATCTTTCGGGAAGTTAAACGCCTGGTGATATTCCCGACTTGGAAGTCACAGATAGCGCTCCCATTATGGTTTGTGTAGACCCCACCATTACTAGTCACCTCTCAGAAAATGAAGGTCGTATCAGGTTGTGACCCACGGGATTGGAAATCCGTACTGTTAGGCAGTGTGTTGCCTGGAAGATAGGTAATGAACGTTCAGAATATAATTTGCGATATTGTGTAATGGAAATTCTTAACGAGGAATCCATTTAGAATTCCCATCAACTCACGGGACCTCTGCTCTGGAAGTCAGGGCTGAAATTCCACCTCGTCTCAAGCTCCTGAGGCCATTCTCTTTTAAAAATTTAAGATGGCGCTATGTTGTGGAAAATTCTTAATCCCTTTTCAATTTGGATTGTCCAATTGTCTGCAGTTGTAAAACAAAAAATGATCTGGCTTCCGAAATTAAGACTCGATTTAAGAATTTTCCACCATCCTGCACTGTCTTAAATTTTAAGGCAAAATGGTCTTACGGACTAAGGCTATGTCAAATTTAGGATCTTGAGATGGTGTCCGAACAGAATTCAGTGTTGCTCACTTTCAGTTACTGGAAGTGTATCCCCATTTGCAAGTCTCAGTTTCCTTATTAAAGAATCCCATTAAAAAATAGCGCAAATTAGACCTCACCGTTTCCAAGCAGACATCACCTAGCACCTGAATCAAATAACAATGCGCTGACTGCTTGGTACACGTTTCCAATGACTCTGTTGTCCCACTGACAAACACTCCTCAGTAATTGTCAGGAATCCTTATTCAAAGCGTGGACCCCCCCAATGGAAATTAATTGCTTGTGTGGAGTCTGAACCACATCATAAATGTCATGTAGAAGTTACAGGGGAGTGAGGAAGCATTGACAGCTCTATCCTCACTGTATCATTTAACTACCAGTAAAACATTCTGCGACAGAAGTGCTCTTCATTAATAATTTACTCCGCGGTATACGATGAGCCTTGCCAGCAATGCCAAGGGAACAGCCACCTTCCTGTTTTAATGACACGAGCAGCAGAGACGGGGGGGGGGGGGGGGGAGTTGGGGTGGGGGATGGGGGTAGAGAGGAAGAGATTCACTTGCATCAACATGCACGGCACATCTGGGCATGTCAGTGTATGAAGATATCAAGGGCTGAGCCGACAGGACAAAGGGGAGAAGAAAGAGGTGTCACCCAGAAAACCTTCCTTTTCATGCTTTGCAGAATAATGCATTCCTGATGACAGTTCACTCTCTCAGTTTCCAGATTAAAGCTAAAATGATCTACAAGGAAGCCGAGCAGCTGATATTTTCTTTAACCTGTTAACAAGGAAAGGGCAGTGGCTGAATGGCGACAGTCTATATCTACTCAACGGCTATAAAAATCAACTGAGTTAAAAAAAAGCGCGTCAGCTTGAGAAACGAGGCACAAACTTTTCCAGCCCCTTCCATGCATCTCCGCTCCCTTTGATATTTTCCCACGAGTCTAAAAAAAACCTCAAAACGCAAGCAAACTGCACCCAGCTACGCCTGCTGCTGTAAAAGAAATAGGAAAAAAAATGATAATCCTTATATTTGGTATAGGGGTGTCAGCCAGGCTCAGTTGGTAGCACTCTTGCCTCTGAGTCAGTAGGTTGTGGGATCAATCCCCCACATTGAGACTTGGAACTCATATAGTCGAAGCTGATACTCCAATGCTGCGTACACCAAATGTAAGGATTATTATTTTTATTATTATTATTATTATTATTGCGCCTTTCACGTCAAGTGCTCCCCAGGATAATCTGTAAAGTGCAGTGACTGTGTGTTTTGTG